AATCTATTAATAAAGTTTATTGGAGCAAGACTCCGTTGGATATAAAAAAAAAAAAAAAAAAAAAAAAAAAAAAAAGTGATAAAAAAAATATTTTTTTTTAATAAAAAATCGCATATATTTATTTTTATAATTTTTATTTTTAGCAATTATCAAAAATGATTTTTGATAATCCCTGTAAAAATAAAAATAGTAAAAAAAAATAAAAAAATAATTTTTTTATTATTTTTTATATTTATTTTTATAGTGATTATTGAAAATGATTTTCGGTAATCACTAAAAATAAATAAAATAATTTTTTTATAAAAATAAATTTATTAAATAGCAAAAAAAAAATTATTTTTTTTACTATTTTTAAAAATTTCAGAAATTATATAAACACCTGCTACTCTTTGGGTGGGTGGGTGGAGGTTATTCTTCTAAATGTATCGATATCGATATCGAGTGCATTACGATACGCGAAATCGATTACCATTACATAAATTCTTGACCTTTTTTTTTCCATTTCGGGTCACGAAAATTTTCCCAAAAAAGATTATTGTTAACAATTGATTGAACTTAAGAACTTACCAATACTCACCAATTAGATGAAGGTATTTTGTACCGTGACTTCACCGAAAAAGGAATAATAATAGGTAAAAATCTATACTATGATAAAATAAATATGATAATGTTATAGATAACAAACATGCGTGACAAGTGCAAATATGGTTTGCTTTATTTATGAAATTAGTTCTATAAATAAAATCAATAATATAAAAATTTACGATGGTAATACCAATTTCGCTCTAAATTGACAAAGTGTCAATATCCCGGGAAGTACCGAAGCTCCTGCACTTCGGACCTTGCACCAACTACCAAATTAATCTTGACAACCAATTAACCATTCGAAACATTTAGGGAATGTCAAATAGAAGTCATTGATTCATCGGTGACAGCTGATTCTTTATATGCTTTATTAGGAATCATTGCCAACCAAGCTGTATCATATGCAAACATTGAAATGCCACTGTAAGCCCGTCCATATCCTATCTATGTATGCATCGATCGTGGTTTTTCATGATATTAGAAAAAATTCAGAAAGAAATCTCCATATTCTTCAAGAAATCCTTTTGCATAATTTGATATTATTTTAGAAGTTGAATCGGAAGAAGAGTTTTGTGTTAACATTATTAATTTCCAAATTTTTAGGTGAGGAACGAGAATATGATTTGAATTTTTGAAATTTAAATTTTTAACGTTACAATTTATTCTCAAAATATGGAAATATTAGATTTTTCCTTTTTTTATAAAAAAAAATTTAGAGAAAATTTGTTTATATCAAAATTAGGTAATTCTGCAGTTGATGCTACAAAAAAAATATCTTTTCGATGAATCACTCGTAAATTTCAATATCTGAATAAATATTTTCCGACAATTTTTTAATATTATGTGATTGTGCTCAAAATATCGGAGTAAAACAAAAATGTTTAGTAAATATTTATTTATTTAATTTTAACCAAATCAGGAATTTATGAAAATGTCAATTCAGAATGTATACGTTAATCTCATATTTTTTAAGATGTAGATTCACGATTAAATTTAAATTACAATTTAAAGTACATATTGTAATTCATTACACATGAATTTTATGGTTTCATTCAAATTATTGTTATCGTTATCTATACATTTGAGTTTAAAGATATCATTAAAATTTACACCTAATTTATTAATAAAAGTTTATTGGAGCAAGACTTCATTGGATTTAAAAAAAAAATAAAAAAAATAAAAAAAATAAATTTGAGTTTAAAGTATTCAATATTCAATCGATCTCCGCAAATTTAAGTAATACAAAAAAAAACAAAATTAGGATTGTTTCGAAAGTTTTTCTATAATTTTTCATTTAGTCAAAATTACTAATGCATTTCAATTTTTCAAACTTATTTATTTAATAAATTTTATATTTTATTTAAAAAAACCAATTTGGTGATATTTACGTTAAAATGTCGCGTTAGAAAAGATTAAAAAAAAAAAGCAACTGAATTTATTAATATTATGTAGTAAATTCTCTCTGTTTAATATAAAGTTGCAATTTTACACAATGATTTCCAAGCGAATAACCTTTATGAAGAGGTGCATCCGGATCTACTAAACTAACATCAAATTTTCTAAATACTGAAGCCATTAAAGTTTTAATTCCCAACTCTCCTAAATGTCGTCCAGGACACATTCGAACACCGCCACCAAATGGAATAAAGGAATTCTTTTCGATGGAATTTTTCATAAATCGATCTGGATCAAATTTCTCGGGTTCAGGCCAATGTTTAGGGTTCAATTGGATTGCGTGCATATGTACGAAAAAGGTTTGACCGGCTTTCCATTTCATACCAGCTACTTCGTCATCTTTA